GGGGCTCCACAGATGAAAGAAAATTACCCTAAACTGCGCAGACATAGGAAAAAATTACGACATGTTTAGAAAGTATTTCTGCAACATGTTCATTGCTCCTTAACACACCAACATCTCAAAAATCTCTGCAGAGCTGCTTTGCGTGTGGCTTCCACCGAATCACCACAACATATATGGGATCCCCCCTTGTTGACAGAAGCATTAGTGACTTTCAGCCGGAACGAAAAAATCTGTGCGTGTAAAATTGGAGCAAAGGTAAACAATTTAGTGAAAGATAACAATCTCCATGCACTAAGTGTTTCAGCGCAGGATGGCCATGAGGGGCCAGAATGAGGCATCTGGTGCCAGGAACAGCCCTCCGTTCCCATGGCAACGGGTAACCATGGCGCACGGGCATTAGTGCCGCTGGCCCTACCTTCCTGTAAGGAGACGAGGGGGGGCATGTAGTCGGGGATGTAGGCCTTCCTCTCCTCCGAGTCGCGTGCACCGGGCTGGGGGAACTGCAGCATGTTGTTCTTGCTGACGGGGAACAGGGGCGTCTGGTGGGGGAACTCCACCGGCTCCAGGTGGTGAATATAATCCTCCAGCTCACTCACGTTCACACCCAGGAGCCTGAAGGCCTGGCCCACGTCATCCAGCATCGGGTCGGTGCGTCCATCTGTGTGTGTGTTGGGGGGGGAGTGACACACTCTCAGCTGCACAGTTTTGCACATCTCTGCTTGGTAAAACCTGAAGTGACCGTGCTGCATTTATATCTGCTCAAATGAACAGACACAGAGAACCGACAACTGACTGAATGGGGTTATTGGGCCCAGATAAATCCCCTCTAAGTTTTCAGTCTAGATGTTTACAGATTCACGCATGTCTGGGAACATCGCTCACTAACATTCTGATAAAGGGAAGCAAAATACTGAGGAATTCTAACCATTTCACAAACAATTTACTTAAGAAATAATTTATAAAGTAACTTATGAAGTTACTACAAGTAACTCATACATAAAACTGTAAAACCTTTGAAAAACCAAGACCAAAAATTCTAAGAACTCATACTCAGAATCACTTTATTCGCCAGGTATAGTCACAAAGTGGTCACAGTCCAAAAACATTCATCCAAGAATATTAATTTATCTCTAATACAAAATTTGACCACTGACGGTGGCTCTGTTAAAATAATTGAAAATCATAACTATAAATTGTTTACGTTTTAAATGTCTGCTTCGCTGCTGTCCGTCGGCTCGGTCTGAATCAGCCGAACCCTCCCCCTTGTTTACATGCCAGCATCCAAACTCGCACCTACGAGTAGTGCTGTGGGTACCAAGACAAGCGAAAACGATGTACTGACAGCCAAACGGCTCCACGCAGGATAAATAAGAGGGGGTGTGTGCGAGCATGCAGGCGGTCATCCTCGTTTCTGTCAATCTGCTAGCTAGGCCTCAGGCATGGGAGGGAGCGCGACAACGTGATCGGACCGGGGACAGTACTCACACAGCTCTGAGTAGCGGTGACAGCCCCTGGCCAGTTGTTGGATGTACCGGTGCAGGACGTCGGAAAGCAGATCGCATGCAGTGAGCTGGACCGCATCCCAGCCCAGCGCCTGGCAGATCTGCGCCACCGAAACCCGCAGCAGCGATCGGGCATAGCTCTCGCACATCTCGCCGGCTTTGGACGAGGACCCTTTATCCTTTTCCGGTTAGTTCCGTCTGCAAAAGATGGTCCTAGTCCTCATGGTGCACGAAAACCAGGGCAACTGGTGGAGAAGTTGGTTATTAACATCTAAAGAATAAACAGACTCCAGCTATAGCGACAACCGCCATCTTGATTCTCCCGACAAACCGATCGCCGAGAGCATCGATTTTAGCCGCGCACGCGCAGATATTTGATTGTGAGTTAATCGATTTGACTCACGCATGCGCGGACACCGGATTGTGCGTTAATCGATTGTTTTTCCTGGTTGGGTGTCTAATACGTCATCCACTGGCAGATGAAATGACGTTTTTTGCAAGACAGACAATTATATTAGCGACCTATATGTATGTATTTCACGCTGACAGTTTAACGATAACGCATGTATTTCTTTATTTCGCATTTTCATAAATGTAGCTAAAAATGAATCGTTTGATGGATGTTTCGTTTTCGGAAACCTAAATTACTCTTTTGTCCAAAATGATGATGTGCTGAATGTGGCTCCATTAGGATAAGTCGCAGCATTGCATTTTAATACCAACCATTATTACCAAGAAACGTGGACCGATGCATTGGACCTGAAAAAATGTTTACTACTAATACCGTTATCGTGAAGGTATAATTTAGTCGCAACGGAAGCCGGCATCTGTGATCCGAAATACCATGTCCATGAAGTACATGTACTCCATTGTGGATCGTTCAAACTTTTAAAAATGACTCATTCTCGGGTGGATTGTGTTGTATGCCGTGAAATTGACACTTATGTCCCCAAAGCTTTTTCAATAACCAGGATGTTAATATGAGAAGTTGCAAGAAAGCATAAATAAGTTATCAGGTGTGAGTCACATGGATCAGCAGCGAAAATATACGGAATAGGACTAATGGTATCACACCCACCTAAGTAAATCCGGTAATGGGATTTATATTATGCTGCAAGGCAGAAAGTACAACCTTTATTTTTATGGAATCCGCCTATTATAATCTGGGCTAATTTGAGCTGTTCAATTTTTCTTCCTAGTGTGCCACGCTGGACAGGACGGAATTAATATTGATAGATATAAACGTGTCTATAAATACCAGGAGTAAAGGAACAAAAGAAACAATACAACATTTCCATGATACATTTGGTGTTACAGAATAAACGGTTTGTGTACAAAGAGAACAGCATTCAGGATCTACAGTTCTCATGAATTAAATGTTTGACATGCAGGTAACTCTTACCCAAACAGTATATGCAACCGGCAGCAAATTGAAAAAAGATGATCTTTGCTTGTCACCAGTAACTATTATATATCATGCACAATACTGTTTATCATATATAAGTTCACATTACTGTGTTGCAATAGAGGAAGATGGAGCCCTAGCTGGTGCTGTGTATGGGGCAGTCACATGACCATTCTACTTTGTGGTGGTTGACTTCCTGTCAATCTGTCAGTATGGAGACGGAGATGCAAAGGAGAAACAGCTAGACATTTCAGAGGGTGCACAAAAAGATTCACTATTCTCACAGAGGTCTAAGAACACATGGACATAGGTGCCTTAATGATGCAGAGCAAAGGGGAGGTCTACAATGCTGAAGTCCCTCCAGCACAGGATTGTAGGTCTTCATTTTACCTCACTTCCGTACCTCAGTTCAGTCACTGTTAAACAATTTTACAATGTTTTCTTATACATTATACTTGAATGCTAAGGAAATGTAAGCCACCTTAAAGTACAAGTTATATAGTCACACAGTGTGGCAGCTTTGTTAATCGCTCAGACTTTGTAACAATAATAATAGCTAATGACATCGCCATGTGCAACCAAACGTTTGCAAATGTAAATAGAGGGGAGACCTGTCCCAAGTATAACTGAGGTGAATGTTTAATACATAGGACTTCTCAACAATTATGTTCACTCCGTTATCACTAACACCCTGAAACCGGCGACGTAAAAGCAGCGCCTGGGTGACACTAACTGCAACATTCTCTGAGAAATTCATTGTGATAAACCATGTGAAAAACATGTCTGACTGCTTTTGTCATTGCACATTTCAAGTGAGGAATAATTCGTCTGACTCACGCAAATAAAACCCCACAAACCCTTATACGCAACTATTCTGAAGATAGAGCTCATCTTAAGCAATAACTATCTGGTGCAAACACCACACCACCTGCTCACCTCAAACACACTGACTTGAACGTTGAATTCAGACAGGATGACTAACTTCTAGTCAGAAGATCTGACGTTACTCAGCCAAGAGGCCACATATCCCAAAAAAACGAGAAGAGCCTTATTTGATGACGTAACTACAATAACATCTAGCTGTTATTTTATGACATTTTATAACATACATTGTCTAAAAATCTGAAAAAGCAAAAGCTTTCAAGGATGAAACATATCTGTGCTGGCAATGTATTTATGAATAAATGAAGGACCTGTCTGTCATGTACCTGTCATGCTATCTATACCACTTGTTCTTTGCGGGTTGGATCCAGTTTATTCAGTTGAGTAATTCGGCATTTCCCTAAAAGACGCTCACGTTCTCAACCTCCCACTGAAAATGGTTCACTATGCTTATCCAATAGCTACATTTCAATTTCTATTTATTTAGCAGATATTTTTATCCAAAGAGATTTTTTTTTTTGAAAAACCAGGGTCAGACCGTCCCTGGAGCATTTGGGGGTGAAGGGCCTCACATCAAAGGCCAAATGTAAAATAACTCTGCCCAGCCTACGATTAGAGCAGGAAAGTTCGACATAACAGGCATACCCTCCTAACTCAATGAGCCAAACATTGCCCCCCTAAATTAAAATCCTTTGACCCGGCAACCTAAGGATGTCAGCTCAATCATATTCCATTACAGACCTCTGTGCCTCAAACTGAGCTATCAAAGAAGATGGAAGTCTATGTAAACTCATTTCCATCCATTCATCCCTCCATCCATCCATCCACCTACCCATCTTACGGGTACGCTCCTTATATTATATCGTATCTAACTGAGGCACCTATTTTTAATCACATTTTTCCAAACCAGCTTAAGATCGTTAATTTATACAGTACAAATCATAGTCGCCAGGCGGCGCCAGAACACTTACCTGATTTACCAGATTTCCTTTTTCCAAATATTTGATCATGAAATTCGCTTATAAATGCTGTTAGGATGTATTGTTGCAAGGTCGGTGTCACTATTGTTTAATGCAAGCCTAAACTCTATGCATGTTTTGCCTACCATTTTGAAAATTTCCACCGCAATCAGTATAAGGACGACAATTAAAGGGCTGTCAGACCAGGATTGATGCTCTGAATCCGACTGAAGTCGCTCGTGAGCGCGACAGCTCGCAGCTGAGGGTGGGCGTGCCGCTGGAAGTGCCTTCATACGCCTATTTGCAGCTGGTCACTTTGTCCCACATCCAGCATCCATCTGCAGCGTAGAAATATGCGCGATCCCCCTTCTTTACGCTGCAGACATAGGGACCCCAAAATGCGCGCCTTTATTCTCCTAATTTGTTTTGGTCCCTTAGTCTGGGGCCAACAACGTGACTCTGGTGATGGAAATGATGTTACCTCCCGCAGACTGCTGGATTTTGTGAGTTATGTGTTTTCTTGGCTGTTTAAATTGTGTAGTTTTAAAATATGTGTAAGTAACTATTTTTGTGTACACTAGGCTCCAGGCAAAGAGCCGACGCAGATGAAATTATCTCTGGCTAAGGTATTTTATATATTTGTGATTTTAATTGCTCATATTATAGTGTCGTAAAGTCAAAGATTACGTTTACCCATTCGATTTATGTGCGATGAACTGCATTAAGCATCGATTATATTTTGTATTTAGGATGACGTTTTCTCGAGGTGCATCTACAATAAACATGACAAGTTTTCCCCGAACTCCCTTTGGAGCGTGACGATGCTGGGCGGCAGTGCGACTTAATTAACTCCTACCAACGCGTTAACAATTTTAAACAAAACCAAAATAATTCTTATTGCGTAATATTTTCAGAAATAATGGCGTATGTGCAGAGGAACTATATATAACACAGTGAATAAGCTTAGAGACAGGTATTTTTTTAAAAATATAATCAGTTAACAAAAAAGTTGGATTATTATAACTTAATGCGCCTTTTGTAGCTGATAGCCTATGTGTAATATAATTTAATCAGTGCGCATAATTGTAAGGTCTTATATGAAAGTTTTAACAATGAAACATAAATATGAAAGATATATTTATGTAAAATCGATGATCTCCTGTCTGACCTTTAGGAAAAAAAGCCCCTGATTCAGGAGCTGTCGGTGAAGACCACCATCATCTCGCGCTACGCTTTCACAGCGGTCTCCTGCACCATGGTCAATATATACTCTGCCGCAATTAAGGGCGTCTTCCAGATTGAATTCCCTGCGTCCGCCTTCGTCTCTAACTTTACAAGGTGGGTCCTAACAAGTATCACATAAACTCAAAATCCCACCGCACTGTCAGCAGATAAATATGTATCTAAGTTGAACATGTTACGGTTTTCTAAAATGTATTATCAGAAAAACACTACGACAACCGGCACTGTTCTCTTTTCCGATTTACGCGTTCGTTCTGTGCACTGTGAAGATGGATAGTCAGGTCACGTTACACGCTGCTGGAGTACGGCACGGATTCGTTTTGTTTTTTCTTTTGCTATCTTTTTCTCATTTTTATTTTCATTCTTTTTCATGTCATGCAAATGTCCTCAGTTTCCTATAGCTTAGTGATATTCAGACTTTTTCTGAAATTCCCCCCGGGGCTAATATGTTGGTTCTGATCCACCCCCCTCCCCTGCACACACACTGACCATAAAAAACTTTCATTATGAAATAAAATGTAATAAATGTGATCATTTTGATTTGTCAACATTATATAAGATGTACAGGCATATAGCGTTAGCACATTGTGTTTTTTTCTGAAGGATGCAGTTTCGAAATCTGCCCCCCCCCCCCACACACACAGACTTCTCAGTCGTTTTCTAATTTTTCCGATCACATGTCCTTTCCTGCAATTCCTTCGCAGGCCGCCAGGTGGGCACACCCCACAGTGTAAATACTGCTATAGCAGGGCAGTTTTTGATTTGACATGAACAGCATATACGCCATGGTTAATACCAGGGTTGACTCAGATGCTGTAATCTCAAGTGTTATTAAAAATAACTTTTGGAGAGGCTACTTTGGAACAAGAACAGCACTGGTTGAACAGGAGACTTTTGACTGACAGGCTAGTAAGACATGAGTCTGGGCACTTGACTTAGTAAAAGACCTGATGTGAAGACAAATTCCACCTTTTTCTTGCAGGATCATCGCAGGTCGAGTCTATCCCAGTCAGATCAAGGAGAAGAAGGCTAAGGGGGGCAAAGAGAGGGACAGCCAGCCACAGAGAGAGGAACAAAGTGCAGCAGGGTATCGTAGTCATGTGACTCTGGATCAGGATTCTGTAGGATAATAAAAAAAAGCATAATCAGCCACCATGATCTTTTAGGGTGTCTGTTATCCTAAATGTCTATTTCTCCTCCACCTTTAATACAATCCAATCAGCAGAGTGTTAAAATTATCCATTACATTTGCACTACAAACGTCCTGGGCCAGGAAAGTGATGTCACTGTTGATGTCATCAAATAACCAAAACAAAACATAATTTAGTAGTTTACAAAATGGAGGAGTTTGGAGAATATCTGCTCTTTTTTCCCTGTAAATAATTAGAAAAGCATGGTGTAAATGCGTAGTAAGTGTTTTACACAGGAAGGGCTGACTCCCAGAGAGTTACTGTCATCGCGATGATGTCACCTGCATTGCATCCGCAGCGAGGGTGAGGTGGAGACTTTCCAAGCGTCGGCCCTGATTCCTGGGAAGAACAGAGCAGTATTCTTGCTCACGTATGAGGAGCTGCTGGTGAGGAGGCGGGGCCTGTATGAGCATGTGACCAGCATACGTCCCCTGCAGGTGGTCAATAAGTTGTCAGTCCAGGTCACTATAGTAGAGCAGTCTAAGATCACACACCTGGAGGTGTTGCCATTGCGTAAAGGGACTCCCACCAATGACCGTTCAGCTGGCACCCAAGGTATGGACTCATGTGTGCTGAGGGTGGAGATACAGCTTTCTTCAGCTTGTATCTATTAAGTGTGATGTGGTTGATTATGTGCTGAGCCTATTTCTTGGATAAATCATTCTTTCACTTTTATAGTTTGGTCCGCATCGATTCCTTCCTCTCGAATGGTTTTCAGAGGCCTATTCAATCAGTGCAGAACCACAAACTGGTTCATTAACCAAATTATATGTTCTCATTTGTTCTAGGTAACACTGAACCCCCAGCCTCTACAGTCATCCAACAGAATACCACCTTCTGCAAAATATCCTTCAATCCCAGTATTATCCAGCAGCACAAGATGGCCAGCAATGGCATCCTGGGAGATTTTGTTGTACAGTATGACGTGGAGAGAGAGCTGCCGATTGGTGATATTCAGGTACAGTATTTCCTTACACACATCCAGCTACAGGTGTAGATATACAGCATGCATGGCTACAGGTGTAGATATACAGCATGCATGGCTACAGGTGTAGATATACAGCATGCATGGCTACAGGTGTATGCGTACCTGTAATGCACACCTGATTTCATTCAAATGCTCTTCATGCGAGAAGTTACATAACTCACCATTGGCATAAAACAGCTGCATTTTATAACTGAATAATTAATATTTGTCAGTATAGCGATGCAACTGGCTTCTGAATTTCACCTACAGTGGTTGGTTTCATCCATAGTGGTTGGTAACTGGTGAGGGTATTGATTTCCAAACTAAGATTTAGGGCCAGAACAACCTAATTAAGCTCAAGAACCTGATTTATGCATCTGTTTGTTTTTTGTTTTTTTGATCACATAACACCTTATTCTGTGTTCCAGGTCTTAGACGGACATTTTGTGCATTATTTTGCACCAAGGAATTTGCCCGTAGTCCCAAAGAATGTGGTGTTTGTGATAGACATCAGTGCCTCCATGCTGGGCACCAAAATCAGACAGGTGGGTCACCTCTGCGTCGGCTGAGCGCATTTCAGTGCACGTATCTCACTGAGAAGGAGCCAGTCTGCAGAGAAGTAAGCAGCAATGACGCAAAGCTGCGTGAGGATGACTGGAAAATGGGAACGTGCTAAGCCATCCCACCCCGAGAGTCGTGTCCAAGGGCTGAAAAAAAGTTGGAAATGGCAGCTGAGAACAGCTAAATGCATCCCCTGAGTAGTTCAGTGTTTACGTGAAAGGGAGACTTTTTTCTGTTTTAAGAAATGCAGCCAACTCCGCACCTCCATCAGCACAATGCTGAAACGTTACACCACAACTGTGGGAACTGCTCCCATACAGAGAACCAAGGATCAGCTCCTTCAGGCCTTTGTGCCTTGATAGCTAGATCCTGTCTATCACTGGAAACATTTAGAAGTTAATTAGACCTCTGCCAAACAGCATTCTCAAACCTGCACGGCAGATCAGCTTTCACTGGTCCTTAAAAAGCCTTTTTTTCTTTCTGGAAATGGCTGCTTTAACTTTTATACAACAAAGGCGCTAAAGGGCTTAAAGCTCTTCTTCTCAGGGGACTGGAGTGGAAACTCCAGCAAGACCACAAGCCCAGCACCTCCTACCCGGGCACGCGGGGCAGGACACGGCAGAGGGTAAAATAAGGGGGATTTTTTATGTTTCAGGGGCAAGAGCTCAATCCACAATGCCAATATCCAGAATAGATTTTTTTTTGCAACTTGTGTGGAAAGTAAAACTGTGAAAAATAGAGCTGTAAGCTCCTTCTCCATGATTTTATCACAGACACAGTAATCGCATAGTAATGAAATAGTATAACATAGTAATGACATAGCAATAACATAGTATGACACAGTAATGATGGCCAGGTCAATAGCGCTGAATTTTCACTCAGTGTGCAGCATGTCCTGTACTGTGTCTTACACTGTGAAAGCCAGGTCTTCCTGACATCTCCGTACCTAATTCCTCCGAGCTCGAGAAGAGCCTCTTCATCATCTCAGCTGTATTCTTTCCCATGAATTGACTTGATCTGTCCCCTTCATCACCCTCCCATGGCAGACAAAGGAAGCCCTCTTTACCATCCTGAGGGACCTTCGGCCCAATGACCACTTCAACTTCGTGAGCTTCTCCAACCGGATAAAGGTGTGGAAGCCCAATCAGCTGGTGCCAGTTACACCGGACAATATCCGAGATGCCAAGAAGTTTATCTACCTGGCCTCTCCAAGCGGAGGTGAGGACTCCATATGTGTGTGTGTGTGTGTGTGTATATATATATATATATATATATATATATATATATTTGGCCACTAGTTTTGGCCACTAGATAGACAGATAGATAGATAGATGGTAACATATTTGGACAGTAGAAAGATATTTAGACATAAATAGATAGTTATAATAAATAATAGAATTACAATAAACAGTAACAGTGCATGTAATCTTGTAGTAACAGCTCATAAATAAATAACACTGGGCTATATGGCGTCTCTCCAGGTACCGACATCAACCGAGCGATGGAGACGGGCTCCTCGTTGCTGAGCGGCTATCTCTCCAGCCAGGATCGGAGCCGCAACAGCGTGTCGCTGCTCATCTTCCTGACGGACGGCAGGCCCACTGTGGGCGAGGTCAAGCCTCCCCGCATCCTCAGTAACGCCCGGTCCTCAGTGCGCGGCGGATTCTGTGTCTTCACCATCGGCCTGGGCGACGACGTGGACTACCGGCTGCTAGAGCGCCTCTCGCTGGAAAACTGCGGCACGACGCGCCGCATCCCTGAGCAGGCGGACGCCAGCGCCATGCTGAAGGGGTGTGTCCTCCGTCCCCGGGGTCCCTCCCCCACCTCAGGATAGGGAGCCAGCTCCAACAGGGGATTTATTATAAAATCCCATTAAATCATGTGGTCAAAATACCAAAATAATCCACTAATTATGTATTTATGGTACATATACAGTACTATGCAAAAGTCTGAGGCAGTCAAAGAAAATGATGTTTAAATGATGATATCATTTAAATCAGAGTGCGAATTACCCCTCCATAATTGGGGGGTACTGCCTTCATAACACTTCTATGACCATTATGGTCCGCTAGCGCGTCAATATGAATAGTCGCCACCAGAATCAATGTTAAGAGTGCAAGATGCGCTAGGGGTGTTTACTAACATGTAGGCAACACATGTGGTCATGGTCTGGACATGCGACACAATGAGAATCAATACAGAAGATATCATTATCCTTATCCCTATCCAAAAGAATTTGGTTTTGATAACTCCCAGGAATTATCCTAGGAGAAGTATACTAGTAAAAGTAATAAGCCTATACAGTTACAAACAGCCTGGTCTGGTCCAGCAGTCTGGTGTTATTCCTGCCCTCTCAGTCCTGCCAGCTCCAACAGGCTTCACTTACAGTAATGTTTTTTCAGAGCATAACGTTAGACCTTCTTATGCATTAACTTTGGCCTAATAACAAACCACACAGGCTAAGTGGCGAATCAATTTCAGAGACACAATTTATTCATGATAAAATGAGAATGAAAACATCGGGAGTTCATCTCCTTGGAAAATGACCATGATCGATTTTACCTCACCAAATAAGCCTGGTTTAACACAATATGTGGGCACATGTGAAAATGAAAAGAAAGTTGTGGCTTCACCAGAACATGTGAAACGTAGGGGGACAGAGGAGGTGGAGGGAAAGCACCCAAATCTCCCCTTGGGATAAATAACCATCATCTGATCTTTTCTTGTGAGAGTATCTCTGCCCGCATATCTAATGATCTCCAGTGGGCTTTCAGTTTCATCCTGGGTTTCTTCTCTCCTGGCAGATTTTACGACGAGATTGGCACACCGCTCCTCTCGCACGTGCGTGTTGCGTACGATGAGGATGCTGTAGAGTACGTTACCCAACAGACCTTCAGCAACTACTTCAATGGCTCCGAGATCGTCATCGCCGGCAAGCTGACCAATCAGAGCGCAGAGTCTCTGCATGTGCAGGTCCTGGCCAATAGCAGTGAAGGGGGCATGGTGCTGGAGACAGACGTGCCGCTGCAGGAGCGTGAGAGGAAACTGCAGCAGCATATAGTGGAGGCGGGCCTTGACCCTAAGGCAGAGAACTATGCAGAGCGGGCATTTGGCTTCCTCAGCGTCAAGGAGAGCCTGAAGTCACGCCTGCGCAGTCAGACAAGTCAGGACAGGGTGGAGGCCACCAAGAAAGCCACAAACCTGTCACTGGCCTACCACTTCCTGACCCCGCTGACGAGTATCACCTTAGAGACACCCAACACCCTTGTCCAGGAGGTCATACCTGACAGCGCCATCGAACTGTCAGCACATACCAGTGAGGAAATTACCCAGAGTACTCAGGGGGGCCCTGAGCTGTCAGGTAAATGTTCAACTGCTACCAGCTATCTAGATATCTGGCAAATGTAAGAAACCACATGCCTGTTATATGCAGAATTCCCTTATATTCAATCTGCTAAGAGGATCACGTTTTCTATATAAAGCCTTGAAGAAACCTGATGAGGAACTAGTCGAAATTTCCAAGACTTCAGGTAACCTTCAAACGATGGCCTCTTTTGTCTGTCTTGTGAAATATTGCTAGTTCCAGTTTGAAGGACAGAATTCTTGGGGGTAGGTCAGTATTTCTTAAGGGAAAACTGCCCCACCCAGCTGATGTATAATGCTGTAGCTCTTTGGGTGCAGGCCTGTCTGTCTGTCTGCGCACGGAACTCCCCGGAGATTTGTGCCTGCAGTGGTCTCGCTTACATGATCTACCATCCCTCCATTCTCCAGCGGATGGTGACCCCCACTTTATGGTGGACTTTCCTCTCAACAAGCTGACCATGTGTTTCAACATCAATGGAGAGTCAGGGCAGGTGCTTCGACTGGTTTCTGACCCCAAAAACTCTGGTAAGGTGGCCTGGAAACCACAGACTGTTTAGCTTTTAATTGCTCTAAATTTTAAAGATTATAATAAACTTTTCTCCAGCTTAGTGAATAATAAGCACATTGTTTTGGTTGTTATTGAGGTTAGGGTTAGGGTTAGGGTTAGGGTTAAATATATAGTGCTGACCTCCAACAGAACTTGGAAGAATTTTGGAACCTAAGACTTGACTTAAAATCTCAGTGGTATTCCTGCCTGTTGTTTATGGCAGTGTTTCTCAAACGAGTCCTCAGAAACCCCCACATGGTTCACGTTTTTGCTCCCTCCCAACTCCCAGGAAATTGAGAGAGAACAAAAACATGAACTGTCTGGAGGCCCCTGAGGTTTGGCTTGAGAAACACTAGTCTACAGGACTCCCCACTAACCTCATATCTGGCTGTACTTAGGAGTAACAGTCAATGGGAAACTGATTGGGGCTCCAGCACCAACTGGGGCCCACAAAAAGAACCGAACCTACTTCAGTACCATTACTGTGATGGTGGACCGACCCAGACGGTCCTATGTGGAAGTCACACCATACCAAGTTATCGTCAACGGCACAGACCAGTTTGTACTGCCTGTCAATACCACCATCTCCGTGGAGACTGATGAACTGGCAGTGGCTATTGTAGAACAGTCAAACGTCACCGTCACCATACATGGGAACATTGGCTTCCTCATCGCCATTCATCAGTTCCGGAACCCAGCACCATTTCAGCGCGACCACTTAGGTTTCTACATCACAAACAGTAAAGGATTGTCAGAGAATTCCCATGGGCTACTGGGTAAGTATTGCTGATAGACCATTGGGTGTGTATTGAGGTAGCAATCAGAGACAGTAGGCTGATTTTTTATGGAAATCACAATGCAATGCCAGTTGCTGATGTTGATTGGAATTACCTAGATTTAAAACCATAAACCTCAAGAACCAGGGTTTTGTAGGAATCGGTCCTGGAGTTTCTATGGAGAGATCTCCAGGGAGTGTTAACCCCAGCTTTCATTTTTCAGGCCAGTTTCTGTATCAGGAAGTGGGCCTTGTGCAGTTGCCCATGGATGCTATAGCACCCATGCAGCCGGATGCTTTCAGCAGAAAACGTGAGGTTCCAGCAAAGACGACAGCAAACAACACTCAGCCAGTCATCCCGACCAAGATGCCACCAAACTTAATGAAGACCACGCAGCTGACAGATACCGTGGAGCTGAAAACACAGATCCAAACCACACACCCAACACTGGACTCACAGCCCAAGGTGCTAACAAGTAAAAATTCATCTGACGAAAACATGTTGACAAAGACCTTGTCCTCTAAGCATCCACTCAAGACAGAACACCTGGAATTTCTGGAAAAGACATCAAAGCTTGATACAAAGATCTTGCAGGACAAGACCCCAGCCAAAACTGCACAGTTAGAGGTCCTTACAAACAGTATACGTTACAGACGCTCCACAGAGTACATGTCATCTATGGTTGCAAGAGAACACATACAGCTAAAAGTCTCTACAAACACCATACAAAGTAAGGGCCCTCCAAACACAAACACCACACAAAATAAGGGCCCTCCAAACACAAACACCACACAAAGTAAGGGCCCTCCAAACACAAACACCACACAAAGTAAGGGCCCTCCAAATACAAACACCACACAAAGTAAGGGCCCTCCAAATATAAACACCACACAAAGTA